CCAGGATTACGCCGCAACTTGGTGGGAGCAGGTCCAATTCTGGGGACGACGAAATTTGTAGGCTGAGGTTACGACTTGGGAATGCTGAGATAAACAATCACCATTTTCGACAACAGCGGTGATACGCTCACCGTTGTTGAGGAATGCGGTGATTGGGCATCACTGTCTTGGACAACGACGGTGATACCTTCAATGTTTCCCTCTGCGACGACGATTGTTTCCATGTTTTTCTTCAAAACAGTGATAACTTCATCGTCATTGTCGACGACGGGGATCTTCATCACTTTCATGGTCTAGCGCGGTGATTTTGAAACATACGTACTTTGGGAATTATTTTCATAACTAATATGTTTTGGGATTTTTTTTAAGAACTAGAGCATTTTGGGATTTTTTCCAACTTGGTACACCCCTTCCTTATCATGCTAGGACCTTGAATCAAGAACAAAAATGCAACCTAGACTAGAATAGGATGAGAATAAAAAAGATACTCTCCAAATGTTCAAAAACTTATAAACATCGTGCTAAATCCTAGGATATCGACATTTAATCACATATAACACAATGTCAACTAAAAATGACCAAAGTATGACAATTATGACTTTCAAACACCTAATAAATGGGTTCTAAAATATGTATGAAATGTGTGCCATTACCTTCTAGTTTTATTACAACTAAAGTGTTCGGTTGTAAATGGTGTGCGGGAAACCATCATATATTGGCGGAATGACAAACAATGTTGTAAAGAACTTCTCAACTAGAGAAATTGGACTTTGTGAGTAACAAACAACAAGGCGGTCACCCTTAGAGAAACGATTAAAAACCTGAATGAAAGAATCATTCAAAATTTCTTTGGTCCTCACCAAACAACTCAAAGACCTCAACTTGGTTTCCTAAAATAACAATAACCAACCTCTCAACCTAAACGCCAAAATATATCTTGAGCTGAATATCAATAGCATAAAGCTCCGCCTCAATTAGGCAACAATCCAATCCCAAGAAGAGAAGGTAACCAAATAAGAGAGCTTGATGCTCTTTTTCTTAATCACCACCAAACAACATTTTGGAGAAATGTACAAGCAATAGCTACATACTTATAGGCTACATGCTCTTTTTCTTAATCACCCGTGAAGTTTGACTCTTATCTAGTGAATAGTTTTTTGTTTATTGTACTAAGGAATTACTAATACAGTAATACTAAAGAGAACCATAAGAGAAGCGATACTCGGGGAGGATACCCTCACCCTAACTACAAGCAAATGATAGATAATTGATTCACAACAATTGTGGTGCGATGGTCACTAGAGGTGGGGTTGGTGCAATGGTCATTGAATCAGGTCGAAATGTACACTTTTTATCCCTGTTTCTCTTTGGCGTTTGTGGCATTTGAGCTCCATAAAGGGTGGTTTTACGCTAGGTTTGCTGTGTTTCAATGTGTTTCAGAGTCTAACAGGTGGAACCAACCCCGGAGTCGAAAGTTGGAAGAAAAGGCGCGAGGACCGGGCAAAGAGGAAGAAATAGCCGTTGTTCATGGTCCAAGCTGTGAGTTCACGGTCCAGGATGTGAGTTCACGGTCGCCAGGACCATTGTTTCATAAGTTACTAACGCCGAGTCAGTTCAAGGTCGTAAGACCGTGAACTGAAGCAATGGACCACGAACTCAACAAATGAAAGCAGTGCGTTTTGGCAGTGTTCACGGTCCAGGCCAGATGTTCACAGTCGTGAACTGGGACCACGAACTGGGCTCGATCAGTGTATAAAAGAAGAGATGAAAGGAAGAAGTGGGGGAGCCTAAAGTGAGAGAAACCTTCTTCTTCTTGAAACCCTAGAGAGAGAAAGTCACGAACCAAGAGGGAGAAGAGGTTAGGGTTTGCTCCAAGTCAAGAATTGGGAAGTTCCTCTTCAAGGGAGGATCTCTACAAGCACAAGGAAGGATTGAGGCATCACAATGATGGTTTTTTCCCCTTTTTCCTTTGTGTTCTTCCTTCTTCTAGCGTGGAGTAGTCTCCTATTCACTTGGGTGTTATAGAACCCTAACTTTTACCATGTAGTTGATTGTGTGGATTGAATGATTGTGTGTGAGTGATGTTTAATTTAAGATTTGAGGTATTGTTCATGATGATTGTGCATTTTGGGCGCTTGGTAATCTATTGTGCTACTCTAACCTAGCTTAGAGAGAAACCATCTTTTCTTAAGAGGCTCAATTTGAGCTCGGTTTTCTTGGGCATTCCATGCATCCTAACTAGGTTAATGTAAGGCAAACCTCTAAACTCAAATTAGACACCTAGGTTAATTGTGATTAAGCCATCCAAACCCGCTAGATAATGTTTCAAACAATTGAAGTAGGGGTACATGGAATGGCTCGTGTTGATATTTAAACATACTTGTCCTGTATTGCACCTATTTAAGGTTTATACTTGGGCCTTAGGTGGGATTTAAGTGATATTCGGAGCGAGTCAAGTTTTTGCACCGTTGTCGGGGAACTTCGGTCCGTTATCTTGAAAATATTTTTTGGTGTTAATCTAGCTTTTACTTTGAGTTATGATTATGTGAAGTGTTTCTTGTGCTAGACGTGTTGTGGTTCTTTTAAGTGTGTGCAGGGAGGTGCATGACCCGGAGCAATCTGGCCCCTTTAGCGCCACTCGACTAGGATCTCAACTGCAATCTCTGACTTTTGGCTCGTGAGAGAGAGTTAGTGGAAGCAAGAAGGAGAATTAAAGAGAGGGGACATCAAGTTGGTCCCGGATTTGGAGGAGTTGAAGTAGAAATTGAAGTTGAGCAGGGAATCAACATCCAGGTGCTAATCCATTTCAGAACCAAAATGATGAAGCGGTAGCCGAGGAAGAACCAAGGACTATGGGCTATTACATGGCCCCATGGGTGACAGATATCCAATCTCTCATCCTACATCCACCCGTGGCCGCCAACAACTTTGAAATCAAGCCCGCTCTCGTCACAATGATTCAAAACAACGCCTTGTTTCATGGGCTTGCTAATGAATCACTGAGGGAGCATGTTCAAAGGTTTCTTGAGCTTGCGAGAAGCCTGAAGATAAATGGCGTCCCCAAGGAGTAATTGAAATTGAGGCTATTCTCCTACTCTCTTGCAGGGAAGACACTCCGATGGCTCAACAACCGACCGACTCGATCCATCACCTCTTGGGACGATTTGCTCAACAAGTTTATGACCCGATATTATCCTCCTTCTAAGACGACCAAGTGGAGGAAGAAGATCACTCACTTTGGCAAGAGGAAGATGATACATTGAGGGATGCATGAGAATGATTCCCTGACTACTTCCTCCAATGCCCTCACCATGGATTTGAGGAGTGATTTCGGATAGAGACCTTCTATGGTGGTTTCATTCAAGATGAAAAGATTCTCATAGACTCTCTTTGCCAAGGGAAGTTGATGAACATGACTCCACCTCGGGTGAATGAGTTGCTCGAAGACATGGCTCTCAAGGGATACGATTGGGGCTTGATGAGAAGTGGTAAGAGAGGCATCGAAAGAGGAGTGTGAAGTGTGGGAGCAAGTGCTCCACTTGAAGCTAAGCTTGACAAGTTGATTGTGGTGATCCTTGAGGACAAGAAGCAAGAAAAGAGAGCGGTGATGTCCTGTGATTGGTTCTCTAGCACTATTCATGAGATAGCGGATTACCAAGCGATGAAGGAGACAAGTACCCTCAAGGAGCAAGTGAGTTTCATTGCCAATGCTAGAGGGAACAACCCTTATAGCAACACCTACAACCCCCGGGTGGCGCAATCATCCAAACTTCACTTGGTCTACCTCTACCAATCCAAGACCTCTTGGTTTCCAAGGTCCGACGGGCAACTATCAACCTCGTCCGACTTACATCCAAAAAAGAACTCAGCTCCAAAACTCGAACTTCAAACAACCATACCAAGCACAAGGCGGTCAAGGGTTTCAACAACAACAAAAAACCGACAAGTTTGATAAACTTGAAGGTCTAGTGACCACCTTCGTGAGTACAAGCTCTCAGAAGTTCGAGAAGATTGAGAAATTCATGGATGTGGTGTGATACTTCGACTCCGATTTAAGGGCCAACATCAAGTACTGACTGAGCTAGACCATGAAGTGGAATCGAAAATTTTATTCCATCACCCGCGCGAGGGAATTAAATAGGACTAGTAGCCAGTCAAAGCTACTTGATGCTAACGAGTTCGGGTGAGAATACCCTTATGGTCAAGAGGGAATAGAATAAGTGAGGTAAACTATACGGGTTAAGCAACGGACATCATCAAATTTCATTGAGCGAGAGTAAATTCTCAAGACAAGGAAGTACAAGAATGAGGAGTATGGGAAAATGGGTCCGAGCAAATTTCGGGGACGAAATATTTGATAAGGGTGAAGGAAATGTTACACCCCGACATTTAGGTCTAGGTTCGACCGAAAGATTGGATCGACAATTACGTACGAAGGATTCAACCATAGATTAGAGATAATAATAATAATAATAATAATAATAACTATGATTATTATTATCATCAGCATAAACACCAACACTCGCCCTTTCCCCTTCAACAACACATTGTTACTATTATCATTATTATTATTATCATAATCCCCATCATCGCTTCAACCTACCAATTCCTCCCTAACCAAACGATCCCTTTACCCAATCCTTTATAATTACTAAGGTCATCATCATCAGCCGCATTGCTCTTCCCGTTGGCAGCAAAAAGAGAGATAAGAAAAGGAAGGAATAAATCCCAAAACCGTTACAAGTTACGTAACCCCATCCCTCCCCGGTGTGTCTTTATTCTTCCATGTTAAACGTCGCTCTTCCCATGTTATAGTTTTTTCCCACCGTAATCGAGAGGAGCAAGAAAATCATAAGTTCCACCCAGGGCTCAGCAATAAGTCTCTCTTTCAGCTCGTCCCTGCAGCAGCTTTCGACAATCACTAGCGGGAGAGAGAGAGAGGGTGACATTGTCACCGATTGCTCCTCCGCCGGCCGATCAATCCTTCCCAGTTCGTAGGAATCGCAATCACGAAGGTTACGGAGGTTCATCGGAAAAGGTACGTCGGCGACTCCGACATGGTCGACTTCAATAAAGCTTAGAAATATGGGTACCATCATGATGAGGGAAATCTTAGGAGCGTCACAGTGTCGACAAAATCGAATTCGGACGTCGGATGAGGGAGAACCGAGTCTCCCAAGTTTGCGGAAGAATATGTCAACGATCAGGTACCATTCTTGGGAATTCGAAAAGTTGGAGGATTAAATGTGCAATTTTCCATAGAGCTCGTGGTCAACTGTGTTGACTGGAAAATATCAGTTGCGGTACTTAGTACTTCTAAACTAACAGAATATTTATTTTGGCCATAACTCGATCAATTGACGTCCGATCGAGGAACCGTCGACGCCTATGGAATCGTGGGAACGAGGAGAACTAAATGGAAGCAAGTCATGGAATTATTAGAGCGGAGTCTGAATCGTTTTCGACAGATTTGAGGTGAGTGTAAAGGGGGTAAAATCTCCGTCGAGGTCTTTTAGTTTATGTCGTTAATTTCAAGTACTGTTAGCTAAATTTTTATGAGTAAGCGTGATTATGTGTGTGAGGCATCCCACCGCCTACTTAAGGTGGAGGCACGCGTTGTGCTATGTATGTGTGTATTTATGATGTATGGATGATGGTAATTGAACCCCCGGGCGGTTGGGCCACTACTGGACGCGGTAGATGGTCGGGTCACTACTGGACGGCGAGACGTAACGCAGTAGTTGACGGGCATGGACTGGACGGCGAGACGTAACGCAGTGCCATTGCCGAGTTTGGGTATGCAACCGGACGGCGAGACGTAACGCGGTTGGCATACTAGGGTTGGGACACCGGACGGCGAGACGTAACGCGGTGGTCCCTGGTATTGATGTCTATTAGTTAAGGATGGAAGTAGAGAACTTCTATGATTTAAGGATAAAAGTTGAGAACTTCTACGAGTTAACGTTGGAATAAAGTAATAGGATGAAAGTGAGAACGACTTTCGTCTAAGGCAGAAAACCCGTTAATAGCGTGTTTTAGTAAGGATGATTATTTAAGAGCAGAAAGCGAGAACGACTTTCATGCTAGGAAGGCATTTCCCCTAATAATGTTTTAGTAAGAAGTTTGCCTAGGGCAAAGACCTTAGGAAGTAACGATGAGACTGACCCCTTCTCACTCACCAGGTTGAGGAAGGGTTAGCAAGGGTGGATCCCGAGAAGAGGCAGTGTGAGGCGAGCTACTGCACCAGCATGGACGAGACCTCAAGGAACTCAACCAGGAGTTAGAGCTAGAGTTAGTTTAATTATATTGTTTATGGTTATGAGTATATGTACTGGAAATTCAAGGTTCAAGATTATGGGTTAAGTTGTTTTAAGTGTTTTAGATTGAGATTTTGCCCAAGTGTTGGGGCTTTTTGATTTAAAATTAATAAATAAAGTCAGTTTGTTTATTTTAAAATGTGGTTTGGGTTGCTCCGGAGTAACCGATTTTTGGTTTGAGTTAAGGTTTGGTTTTCTGAAAAAGGTTGGGATGTTTCATGTGGCAACCTCCAAGTTTACCTCGGTTGAGGCGGGACTCCGAAGTCATCAAGAAAGTCTTCAGAACTTGGCGGTGCAAATTGGCAATCTTGCCGGGATCCTCACCGAGAGACCAAGGGGAGCTCTACCTTCTCAAATAGTTGCAAACCCCAATGAACAAAATGGCGGGTTGAATGCGATTCAATTAAGAAGTGGGAAGGTGACTCCAGAGGTAGTTTCCAAAGAAGTGAATGAGAAGGAAGACCCTCTACCCGAGGGCGGAGAAGAAGAAACCTCGAGAGAAAAGAGAGGAGCCTCCAGTGGTTGAGTACACGCCACCCCTACCTTTTCCCACATGGATGCATAAGAAAATATTGGAAGCGGAATGTGGAGGTTTCATGGATATGCTCACAAAACTCAACCTCAACATTCCCTTCCTTGAAGCAATGGCCCACATGCCACGGTATTCAAAATACCTCAAGGGGCTTCTCTTCAAGAAGCCAAAATTCCAAGACCTCGCCAATGTCACCCTAGGCGAGGTGTTCTCTGCCTTCATCATCAACAGGTTTCCAGAAAAGCAACCCGATCCAGGTAGTTTCACCATACCTATTTGCATCGGCACGCATCACATAGAGAATTCCTTGGCAGAATTAGGAGCAAGCATGAATGTGATGCCCTTTAAGCTTTTTAAGAGCCTAGACTTGGGTGAATTAAAGACTACTAGGCTTAGTGTCAAATTAGCCGATCGCTCTGTCATTATTCCTAGGGGCATTGTGGAGGACGTGCTAGTACGAATGGGAAAATTCTGTTATCCGACGGATTTTGTGATCCTTGATATAAGTGAAGATTCGGAAATGCCACTCATATTAGGACACCCCTTCCTTGCCACCGCCAAGGCGTTAATCGATGTTAATGAGGGGACTTTGATTCTGAGAGACGGTGAGGAGAAAGTTACTCTTGGAATTGAACCTAAGCCTAGAAGTGAGTATGTGAAGGAAGTGGAATCAAATGATATGAATGCAAGTGGAGGAGATCCTTTCAAGGTGAACCCCACTATTACTGTTATTCCTTCTAGTGATGTGAAGCAGGAAACCAATGATAGTATTACACCTAAAGAAAGAAGGAAGAGAGCTTGGAGGGAAAGGATGAATCACGTTATTGCCTGGAGAAAGGACAAGGACAACGCGAAAGTAACCGGTTGAGAAGGCCACCCCATGGAGTTTAAGTTGGGAGGCGACAAGCCTCACCCCGAGATCATGGTGGATCCACTCTCGGTGGCTTCATGTTATCAAGCATGATAGATTCGCAACGTCAAGCTAGTGACGTTAACTTAGCGCTTGTTGGGAGGGAACCCAACGTAGGTTTGTTTTCTTTTCCTTAATTTCTCTTTTTGAGGTTGAGTGAAGAGTTTAAGTGGTCAAAGTGGTATCCCCGTACCAAGTCTTTGTGATTGTATGTTTTGAGATGGGTTGTGATCGATAGTAGGTACGACGGAGTAGGTCGAGTCAAAAATTTTCCGGAAATGCCCTGTTTTCACTTCAGTTTACGGTCTGCGCTTGCAGTTCGCATCTCAATCGACCGTGAACTACTTAATGCATTCATGAACTAGGGTGCTTCCACGTGTTGTGATACTCGCCGTTTCACCCCAGTTCGCGGTCCGCGAGTTATGTTGACGGTCTTAACGACCGTGAATAGGGAACGCGTCCGTGAACCTTGGGGTCTACCTATAAAAGGGTCATGAAAGCCTTATCTTCACTTCACGGCCCAAAACTCGCAGAAAAACTTTCAAATTTTTCGAAAAACCTTGATTTTCAGACGAATTTTGCCATTTTTGTCAACTTTGGGCCATCCAAATTAAAAAACAATCACAAATCCAATCTTCCCTCATCAAGGGCGGCTTTCACTGAGATTTTGGGGAGATTTGGCACAGATTTTTTCCGGTGAAGCGATTTCCGGCGAGCTTTTGGCGAGCTTCCGGTGAAGCTCCGGTGACCCCTCTCCGCCTATTTTCGTGCATTTTTTTTTTACTCCCTCACCCTATCCTCACTTCCCCTACGATCCTAATTGAGTCTCCAGGTTTGTTTTCGACCTTATCTTTGTTAATTGTGGATAATCAGATTAGGGAGTGAAGTGAGGTGAATTTAGTGAATTGATTGGTGAACATAGAAATAGGGCGAGGTATTAGTTGATTAGTGGTGCATGAATGTTGAATGTAATTTGTATGAGCTTAATTGAGCCTTGGTGGGCCTAATTTAGGACAAATTGCTTTCAAATGTGAAGTTCGTCAACCAAGTGCAAAATTTATGAATGATTGTGGAATTTTTATGTTGGAGTGGTGGATGGTAGCCACCGTGGTATGGTTTGGGTTAGACTTTTGTGCGGATAAACCGTGAAACACCTAAAACCATGCCTCGGTGTGCTCGAGCTTAATTGTTTCAAATGGCATGGAATCGTAGTGGGAACATAGGTTTGGGGGGAATTCTTTTTCCTCCCAATGAGTTGAGATTGACAATTATTTCCACGTATGGTGCATGGTTACCCGTTTTGCAGGATGGTCAATATGAACCACCCGTACCTTTCACTGCTTAGAGGGAAACCCGCAAGGGAAAAAGAGCTGAGATTTTGGGCAAGCGCTCACTCCGGAGACCACTGGAAGTTCGACTTCACCCAGTTCGATGGTCTTCATTGTGGAGATATCATGAGGGAGGCTGTGGCACACCCACAATGGTGCCGGCTCCTTGAACTGGAATGTTAGACCAAGCAAGGTCAATAATGAATACTTTTTGACGTGGTCAAAGCACAAATTAATTATGAATTCAATAGCGAGAGATTAGCACTAGCTTGATTGAGCAATCCAAAATGACTTGCCAAGAATCTCTCTTGAAGTGATTAATTTGTTGGCACTGATGAAGAGAAAAAACTTAGAGAAGGTATAAAGAGAGGGAGAGAGATGAGTCGAGACACGCGATTTTAACGTGGTTCGGCCAATATGGCTTTACATCCACGTCCTGGAGATAGTTACCACTATCTCACGAGAGACTCTAACTTTTATGAAAATAAAAGACTCTCTAACCTATGAAATTGAAACAACCTTGACACTTCGTGTCAAGAACCAAATAGGTGCAACTCCACACCTATTCAACCCTTAGCTAAATCCAAGCTAAGCTACCCACTCAATCAATCAAGCCAACACTCTTAGTTTGACTTGATTGATGAGTAATCCAACTACTGCAACTTCCTTGGCCCAACTCCGAATTCGTTGTGACAGGACCAACGCATCAAAAGGTTTCTTTTGAAATATTGACTCATTCCTCTGCTTCCACAGATACCACATTGCCACTCCCACCAGCAAGCCGGTATCGTCCACGCGCAACCTCTGTTTCAACCAATCTGCAAGAGGGAGAGCCACTGTTAATTGGGTATCCATCAAACCAAGAGCTTGCCATACCTGAGTAGCCCGTGGGCATCGCCGTATCACGTGATCCGCCGTCTCAGGCCCCGAGTTATAGAAGCAGCAGTCGTCTTCGGTGGTGAGATTCCTTCATTTTTCGCTCCACATTGGTCAGTAATCTGTCATGCGCCGCCAACCATAAGAAATGTTTGATCCTTTTGGGGCCATTCCATTTCCATAAGTCTTGGAAAGATGGATGGAACGGGCAGACCGGTTTGGAAAGACTTATGGAAATCTTTTCAAGACCTTGGTTGAGATTTTTTGCAAGGATTTTTAGTCTAAAATAATAACACATATTCAAGGCAGCATATCCTAAGATAATAAAATTTCCAAGTCAAGCTTTTTGACTCAACATGGAAGATGACATTTATGGGGAGTTGTGTGTCGAGTTTTTCAGTACCTTCACCATCTCGAAGACAAAGAGCCCGTTAGAAAATCGGAGGGGCAAGATGAAATTCCACTTGGGAGGAGAATGTCGCAC